CGTGTAGTCGGCGACCACGTTAAGGTGTCGCTAAGGATTTATCAACTGTGGGTACAGACGGTTCTTCGCTTTTATCGATCGAGGACGATTTTTAAGCGCGCAAATTAAGTAGAAGTTAAGGAACGTTAAAGGGAAAAACAAGTGTTGGAAGAGATATGGTTCTCATTTCTTTTCAATAAAATTTAGATAGAGTTTATATAAACCTGTGGAAAGACCATTTGATTTTCTCCAAAGATAAAAAATTGTATTGCGAAGGAATTTCTCAAACACAATGATTGCTTAATGCTTAATGAATTCGTTCTTTGTTTTCGTTTTTATTTTTTATCAGATCTATTTTCTATTGTATTATATTTTAAGAAATATATATATATATGGATTATTTCATACAATATTTATTTATTAACATTTTTCGAATCTTTGTTTAAGCAATAAATACTATATAATATATAATTTGAAATTTGTAGATTTATTTACATTTACAGATTAAGATAAAAATTATCATAAAATATATTCTTTGATACTCTATCACTTATAGAAATTAGCGTGAATAATTTTCTCAAAATTGATCGATTATCTACATCTATGTTTTTGATTATTCAAATTGCAAATGATCCACCATCCATCGCGCTACTAAATTTCATTCAAAATCGGACAGGAGCCACATCCGAGGCTCTCAAATACGAGAGCCAAGTCGCGTGAAGGAGCAACACTTCCACCCGTTGTTTAAAGTAGCGCCCTGTCGTTGGCGAGTCGTATTGCGTTAATTTGTCCCGGTGATTATGGATCCATTAGCGTGGCAGCCAACAAATAGCACGGTACAATCCAATAACCGTAGCGGCCCATAATAAAAGGGGAGGCAGTTTAAGCACCAGTCGGGGGTAGTTTAGGTGGCGCGTAGGCACGCACCCACATACTCTCTCTCTATCCTCGTGAGCGTGCTAGTGTACGCTTGTGTTTACTAATAGATGTTCCACTCTCTCTCTCTCTCTCTCTCTCTCGTTCTTCCCATTCCTCGTTCTTTTCTCCTTTTCGCATCACGTGTTCCCACGTTTTGCCTTCTCCTTCCGCCCACACCATTCCATGCCCGATTTCGTACGCATTGCTGCGAGCACGAGGGTTGACATCCCCCAATACCGGCCGAGATAGCGATCACCGCGTTCATTGTCGCATCACCATAATATCTAGCTGTGCCGATGGGGTGTGGAGACGACAACGACCACGACGTGGAGAAGGATAGATACGAGAAGAGCGTAACCGTCGTCGTCGTTCACCAATACAACCGACGTGAGGACGGAGTGAATGAGTGGGGAGGGGAGGGGAGAGAGGGCGGGCGGGCTAAAAGCCTCGAGTCTGCATTTCGGTTCTGAACACCGGCGCGCCAACGACGTGTTAATTATCTCGGTGGTGGCGCTGGTGTTTCGTGCGGAACAAAAATTACGGACGGTTAAGTCGGACGTTCGATGAGAATTAATTGGAGACGAAGCTGTGAAAGGTTGTATATATATATACGAGGTTATATAGTAATACGAAAGTAGGATTTAATCGAGGTATCGGTCCATTATTTAACCGAATTACGAGATATTATTATTGCATTATCCGACGTTCGGTAATATTTAATTTATCTCGAAACGTCCGTGTGTATGAATATTAGAAATTACGTTTAATATCGAATTATTATTGCGCAATGGGCGGAAGATTGATGCGTAACGATAATAAATAAAGCCTTTGGCTGTACCCGTTTATAATATTATTAGCGGTATGGAATGGAATTGATGGAATATAATAGGAGAGATTCTGTTCTCTGATTAAAAAGGCGAGACGATTTCAGGTTTTGCCGCCTTCCAAGTTTCGCTGGATCGAATATCGAGTCCAGCGGGGAATATAAGCGATACCCCGATGATAAATTTAATACTACGGGTTATTTTTCATCAGATTGAATTCGATTATTTAAAATGTCAAATTGTTTATTACCTTTTGACGGTAGTTTTGGCTGGTCTCGACGAGAGAGCGATTCATGTATTTGTTAAAAAAAAATATACGCGTAAACACGGTAAAAAAAAGGAGTGTGTGTGAGTATGGCCTAAATCCAAAATTCCGATCGAACTATTAAGCCGATTGCGACGAGATTTGAAGAGAAATTCATGCATTCGCCGCGCGTGGAATAAAAAGATTTGCAGAGTATCAGTTTTTCGGTCGAAAAAAAAAAAAAATATATATATCAACGACCGAAACCACTTTCTAGCTCTAGTCGCGAAATTCATACAATCGTGCAATGATAAAACATTATAAAACTATATAAAAAAAAAGGGCAAACGGTATTATTGTCATTGAAATTTAATAATACAAATAAAATAAAAGTATGAATAATACAAAATTAAGGGACAATAATAAGGGTTTATAATTTCCAAGTATTGTCTGTAAGATTGACAAATAAGCAGAGCTGTGTGAAAATTGAAACGAGTTAATAGAGATACTAAAAGATTTGAAAATTATTTAATATACGAATCGTTGATAAATAATAGTTATTTGTTATTCAACTATTATTTTTTTATATTTCAATGAAATATTCATCTCAAAATAGTATTTGAGATGGTAATAGATATCATCCTCTATTTACGTCTCGCTTTGCTTAACGCAAATTTTCAATTGCTTATAATAATTAATAAATGATTTTCAATCGATATTTTCGTATATCAATTTTTGCGTTCGTTCTCTAGAATCAATTCTTTAAACGTTTTCCATAAATATATTAAACACCATGTATTTATGGAAAAACAAAATAATTTATGAAAAACGATGTGTAGCACTCTTCAATATCCCACCAATTTTACCGAATAATTTATAATTATAAAAAAATGATATCGAAAGCCGCCATGTTGAATAGGTACCGTCGATCTTTCGGAATAACATTTGATCTCTACAAAAATATGTATGCATAAAAGAGGCAATCCGAAGGAACGTCAACCATTGACTATTCTTCGACTTCGAATCGAAAGTATTTTGCTTCCGAAGATGGTCCTTTCCCACTTTTATCTTCCATTTGCTATTTTATCAATACAAGAGAAAGAACGAAGTGTGCGACTGAAAAATTTTTTTACAATTCTCTTATTACAATTGTAACCCGATATTATCTAATTTTGTTGATTCGAGAAATGAAAAATCGAAAAAAATGAATTGGTTCATAATTCACAAAGGTGAATATGTGATTCTTAACCGGTCTCAATGTCCCAAAATTATGAGAATAATGCCAACTATTTTATATAATTTTTATATAATTTCTAATAAAAAATATATAGTATGAAATTATTAACTTTACGATGGAACGACGAATTTTAATTTTCTCGACGATTAGTTGTGAAAAATGTTATTAAATTATTAACGAAGAAAAAAAGCGTCAATTTTTCTGGTTTCTATCCATTATATCCTTTTTCACGTTATTTATAAATTCGCCCTGTTAACGATTTAAACGAAAAGCAAATAAGCAAATACACACGCGACGAGGAAAAATTCGCCGGGCACAAATTGAATTTCTCCTTTGCGAGAATTATACGATCGTTCGATGGGTGGCAATAAAAAAAGGAGGGGGGGAATAAATCCATCGCGAGCAATCTCGCGGAATCCCTCGATCCCGGGCTTCACACTGTTAAACGGAACCGCTAATCTAAAGGAGGGGAGGGAGAGGCATTTCAAGACGATTCCCCTCGCGCCGTTACAAACCATCCCGATGATCTTCACCGCCGCCTCTCTCTTCCGATCTATCCTGCTCGCCCGACTTTATGGGGCCTGTCGAGCAAATGAAATGAAATTCATGCAAATCGCGGCGCAGCCGACCGGTCCACCGGCGCTTTTGTATCGGGGCGGTGATGCGTCCAACCTATATCACGAGGGTGAAACCGTGCTTCCCCCTTCTGCAGCCACGAGCGTAGCACGCCTCAAACGAGGCCTCGACCACATCTTTTCACGGTCTCATTCAGAGTCAGAGTCAATTTCCCCGGCGTTTGTAAATATCTGAAAAAAAAAAAAAATAACAAAATTAAACGAAAGCGTGCAAAAATAGTTTTATAGTATTTATTCTTTTGATAAATTATATAATTGATATTTAAGAGGAAAATCAATCGTGTGGATAAATATGGATTGAGATTTGTAAGAACTTTGTGATATATAAAAAAATTTTAATAAAAATTGAATGTATATTATGCGGCAGATGCTTGTGAATGAACTTACGAAGATCAACTTTGTTTATTCAAGTAGAATTATATATGTTTTTTAACGGAATAGTCGGTGCAACTCGTATAAAGATCTTTTTTTGCGATTAATCGAATTCTAATCCGATCTATCGCATCATAATCTTTCAACATAAAAAATAAATTCATAAAAGTATAAAAGACAGATTTTCAAATGCGAATTCTTAATTTTGTATTCCGTGAATTACGGATCAAATTTGTATATTTTTCACAATTCAATTTAAATTTACATTACAAATGTCTATTCATCGGTAATACATTTGATCAAATGATAAAAATAAATTGATCGCTCACGATACTTTATTGTTACATACACGTTTAACTTGTCGTCCAATTAATTTAAAGATTAAAAAATTAAATCTAAGATAAAAATTATCAAATTAAGAATGATAAGCATAAAATTTTATCAATTCACACATATTATTATACATTTGTATCTCATACTGTTTTATAGTATCACAAAAGATCAATCTTTAATATTTCTTCTCAGATATTCGAAAATTTCCGATCAATTCTCTGCTAAAAAATATACCCCATGTACAACATACAGATCTTGACAATAGGAAAAAAAAAAAAAAAAAGATCTCAACAAAAGAATCTCCTGCTAGTCTACTGCTTGAATATTTTCCTTCGCGTAATCCACCCAATATCTCCAATGCTCTAAGTATATATTTGAATTGCAAAGAAAGCGTTGAATTTAATTTCTAATATCTCTAACTGTTGGCCTCTAATTAATTATTGCCCGTTGTCCCGTAGGCCACGCCAACAATGGACCCAATTACTACGGAAAATTTATCGGAAAACTGAAGAACTACGCGCATGGAATCAAAGGGGACGTATACGCGGTGGACGACACGACGATATTCATAAAAGGATTCTGCTACGATGGGACCGGACCGGACGCTTATTTCTGGGTTGGGAACACTTCGACGCCCACGCCACAGGGATACATCGTCCCGTATCCGGAAATGGAGAAGATCAGGTAGGAAGAGAATTCTTTTCACCGCCTTTCGCCGATATACTCTCGTTATACCCTCTCGAATTTCCATTTCGCCGCCTCTCTTCTCACTTTTTCGTGGCCTGCGAATCGAGTAAACGCGCGAAGAGAAACGAAAAAAAAAATGGCGGAGTTGCGGCCAGGGTTGGCGCGCGATGGAAACGTCGAAGGGGATAGGAAAGTAGGAGGGGCGGGGGTGGCTGTTGGACGTAAGCGGCATAACCATAAGGGATGAAATGAAACTCAAAGAGGTTGTTGTGTGTGCTTCGATGGGGCGGCCGAAGAGGGTGGGATGAAAAGAGAGGAAAGGGCGGGAGAACGGGATTGCGGGGGTGCAGTTAATAAAACAGGAATTATACAGCGATCTCGTTCGGATTTCGTTCGCGCGAGCACTTTATTACGTTTCCACTCGCCACTCTCTGTGCTCACTCGTCGTGAAATTCGATGGAAGACGCGGTAAACAAGACGTCTAAGACCGGCCTCTTCTTCCATTCCCCTTCGAGCGAGTCTTTTTAAGAGATAGCCGCGTACAATAATGATGTCTCGTTCCAACTGGGCGATCCAATTGGGCAGAGAGATTATTAGAGGAGGATGGTATTAGAAGTATATTTGTTCCTGTCCCACCAGAGCGTCGCTCCAGCGTCTCTATGCTCGAATACGATCGATACATTGGTTGTTTGCCAAAATCGTCGACGCGTTTCCCCGACCAATCGATCTAGCCGGGTTGAAAAACTGGTCAGCGGGAAATGCGGTATTATTAGAATAGTTACGAGCACAATGGTGCGCACACGCCTATAGGCTCTTCAAGCCTATTTTTTTTTCTCTTTTTTTTCTTTCTTTCTTTCTTTCTTTTTTTTTTTCTTCTTCTTGTTATACTCTGTCTACACAGGGACCCGGTGGTGCTCCAATCGTACAACTACACAGACATCATTCTGAAGCTGCCCGATGGGAAACGGATACGGGACATCAAATGGCTGAGCGTTTGGTGTCGTCGATTTACAGTGAGTGAACATTTCGAATATATTTCTTTCCTTTCTTCTCTTTATACTCTCCACGGTATGGAATAGAACAGATGCGAATCTGTCTGAGGATAAGTTCGTGTAAGATTTAATTTTTTTTACTACAGCTATACTATATTCGGTTACTTTTAAGCTTTCGTGAAAAATAGCGATGAAAACTTATTTCGTATCGATATTGATATTGTATTCGTTAAGCGTTACGTTGTTTCCAAAACTTTGTGTAAGACGTTATTTCATTCCACTTATATTGATTTATTGTGGGATCGTTTTTTTTTTTTTTTGAAATGGAAAAATCAATTGAATTATTTTTCAATTGTAGAGAAAGGATTTTGTTTCTTTGTACTGATTCTTAATAATACTTCAACAAAAATGAAATTCTTACATTTGTAAAACTTCAAAATATCAAAGTATACGAATGATGTATAAATAATATAATTCATAATTGTCGGAAAGATTCTATACCAGAGAATATAACGAAATTGCTTCGAAAATATATTTTTAAATATTACAATTGAAATTAACTAATTCCCTGTATGAATGAATTATTGAAATGAAAGTATATTATTTAATCATTTGAAAATTCATTGATTGCTGTATGATTTTAATTTTTTCACAATGAAAAATTTAAAACTCGAAACCTCTCTCTCATTACATTTACATCGCATTAATGAAATTTAGATTCATTATTCGATCTTTTTGCTAGCTACATTCAGAGTGCGTATCCCCAACTTTAACTCTCTCCTCCCCTGTCTCGTGGCGATACCAACGACAATCCTCTCGTGCACGGCATTTCCAATAAATTTGTACGACATACGTCGCTTGGCCGCGAAGTAGAGGAAAACGGCGAACGCGGGGGCCACCCCGTGGCGCCGCGTTTTATTCGAAACCCTACGATGCGCGGAGAATGGAGATAACTTGATTTTTTGAGAAGGCCCGCCCTATCGGACGTGCATTCGTGGTCAATGGTGCGTGTTAGATGGATACGGAAGCCGAGATCAGGGGCGTGCACACACACAACGGAACAACGCGCCTAAGCGTGCATTTAAGTCGTTCCATCCCCTGCCCTCTATTTTTTCCGCCCGGTTTAGGAGCTCGGGCCGAGCAGCACGGCGTTAATCGCGTGATCTTTCACGATTCACGAGTCAAATGGAAGTACGGTCGAGTGGATCTCGATGATCTTGCGATTTAATTATAATTATTTTTGTATTTTAAGGGAGTGCAATTGTTTGATACAATTGGAGAAAGATAGGTTTTCGAGGAATGTTTTGAATCATTAAAATTTATAAATTCTTTTTTTATAAACATGTAGGTTATGTCTATACGTTGAAACGAATGATATTGGTAAACCGATAACGAACACACGTTGAAGAAAACTTATAAAATCGTTCGATCGTGTTTGGGTAATTTAAAAAATATCCCATATTTTTAATATTTCGATATTCATGGTAGGATATTTTTCAAATAACTATAAATAAATATAAATAAATACAGCGGGGGCTATTAATATCCCAGTTTATAATTAAATATCTTAATTAATTTATTTTTTTAATTTCGCTAATTTTGTATCATTTTGTGTATCAACAGGTGAAACAATTTTTCCACAATTTTTTTTTAAATAAATAAAGCTTTGCTTATTGAAAAATTCTTTAAAATATTGTCATGAGTAATTTTTCATTTTAAATTTATAAAAAATACTCTTCTCCATGTCCAAATGATTTATATTCTATCAATTTTTAATTTTCCAACATCTATATAAAACGTTAATATATTCATTTTTGAAAGACTTAAAAAAGTCAAAGTGAGATTTATTTATTTTAATACAAGAATCAAAATTATACCAATACTTTTGAAAAAAAAAATTGTAGCTAGTTACGATCTCTCATATTTCACCTCAAAGGATATATACATTGAACGCATATTAATTTATAACAATATATAACAAAGGAACAATGGTGCAATTTTACAAATTCATTCACACCTTCTCACTTTTTTGCCAAACCGAAAAGGTGTACAAAGCCAAAGAGGAACAGATCTATCCATTTTTCCATTCGATCCACCCTTTTGCACCCCACCCACTCGCTTAGCCAGAAATCCAGAACGGCGGTCCGGCCGGGCTTTAGCCAGTATCGCTTACTGGAAATTTTCGAGGGAAAGGTTTGGAGCAGGGATATCGACGGCGGAGAGCTTTTGCTCTTATATTAGGAGGGCTTTAATATCGAAGTCTGAGGGGGTGCTGCTCCCATACCGTGACAACCCTCCATCAGACACGCTCTGTCACCGCAAAACGCGCTGTCCGCCGCCTATGCTCCATTCTACAGGGTGTCCCGTTACGATACGGCCGGTAAGTGATCGCTCGAGTCTTTCGTATAAATCGATCCCTCTCTCTTTCGAGTTGAGTGCGCCGATCGGGGACGTGAGTAGAAGGCAGACCAGCCGGGGCGGGAAACACGATAAATGTACAATCGCGATTTTGCGATAGGAATATAGAAAAGAGCTCTTGTACCCCGTTTCAAATAGCACAGCTTGGAATGCGGTTTTCGAGGGTGCACGCTTTCTCTGTAACCGTGGAAACATTCGATTTCGAGAGATTATTCTTTTTTTTTTTTTTTGTTATTCACAGAGAAAGAAAATGTGCATATACGTGGGATGGAAAGGAATATTATAGGGAAAATACTTTTCTATTCGTGATTTCGATATTATGTAACAAGGATGTATATATATATATAAATCGTTGAGGTGTGAATTTAATCGATACATTTTTTCTTAGACGTAATTTTTATATTTTAATTGATTATAAATCATTAATATTTATTTTTTTAGTAAGAAATATTTTTTCAATAATTATTATTTAGAATTAGATATATAGGTTTGAAAGAATTAATAATAAATCGATTTTTTTATTTAATAATTTTATTTCTGGCCTCTATATATTTATTAATTCTTAATAATAACCTGATATATTATCAATTATTTTAGGTTGAGATGGATTAGGATTAATTTCTTATTGTTTAGTAATTTATTATATGAAAATAAAATCATTTGGATCAGGAATAGTTACAATTATTTTAAATCGATTCAGGTTTAGTAATAATAATACGTTTTCTAACTATGGAATAGATAAATTTATAATTTCTAAGAAAAAATTCTAAGAAAAAACTGAATTTGAAAATTATTATTTTCGTTATTTTTTTCCATGCTAAAGTTAAAGAATAGTTAGTTAAAAGTTAAGAGTAATTTCGGATGAAGAAATATTACGATTGATCTGATACGAATAAAGACAAAATTTAAAAATCAACGTTTCTTTAAAGATTATGATCTGAAAGATCGAGAAAAGATTTTTTTTTTTTTTTCATTCAACATTAAAATATAATTTAACGAAATTACAATAACATCCTAAAAGTAGCAGCTTTTCCAATGATCATGCGCACAGCGAAAAGGTGTAAACGAACCTCGCCACTGTGCTCTTTTCAATACGATGGAAAATCTCGACGATCCCCAGAAGGGCTCTTGTTTCCCTCCGATATGCCGTTCTTCCATCTATTCGTGATTCGCTGAAGATTCGAGACGACGAGGGGGGAGGTGACCGATACGTACAACAGCAGGGGTAGATGTAGGTTTTGCTTGGATATCTGGTAGACAGGAGCTGTCTATCAGTCGGCATACCCTCGCGATACGTGGAAGGATGTATTGTCGGAATAAGCCTTCTTCTTGTTCCGCTTTTCCTTTCCCCCTTCGGTGCGGATACATCGCAGAGGCGGTTGGGTTCCTTTTCAAAAGAACTCCTGGAGATATCCTTGCTCGATATCAAACCACCGTTCAATGGACCACTGATTCAGATAGGATTTAGCTAATTTTTTTTTTTTTTTTTTCTCCCTTTGCCGACCAACGTCCAAAACGGTCCCACCACTTTTACACGCGATTGGGGGAAGCCTTTGATTCTCGGGATTTTATCCGCGAGGCTTCCTCGAGGAATCCAAAACGGTTCAAACCGTTGATCGTTCTTTCATCTCGATATTTCCTTTTCATTCTTATTCTTCGATATATTATTTCTATTTTCTTATTAATTCTGACAGAATGAGATTCTTTCTCTAATCGTTTCGCAACTACTTATACGATCGAATATATATGAATTTTATATATCTTAGGAAAGTTCAATTGATAAATTGTGTCGAAGAGAAACGATAGTTTCATCGTGTTAGATATTGTAAGTAAGATTATTAATGGGTTAAATCATTCTTCGAAATATTAATACTGCTTTCGTTTCTTGAAATATAATTTCGTTTGAGAAAGGGCAAAAGTATTTAATATCGTTTTAAAATCAATCAAAGAGATGCACGTAAATTTTTTTTTAAGATGGATGAATTTCGTGAGATAACATAGAAAGAAAATCGGTCATTTTTATTTGCTATGAATGAGGTGTATCTCATGAATTCGAATGTTGTTCATCGAAGGCTAACATAAAATATATATATATATAAAAAAAAAACGAGATATCTCGTCCGTGACATCGTACGAATAATATTGCGTCACGAAATATCTCGACTGGCATTGCACGAACGATATTATGTCGCGAAATATATCAACTGTGGTGTCCTATAAACGATATTGTGTCATGGAATATTTTATCCATTGTTTGTTCATTAAAATATACAGTAAAAGTTGAATAAATTTATGAAATAACAGCATATATATATATATAAATTAATTATGTCAAATACGATAGAATAAAATTATTCTAACGAAAAAAAAAAAAAAGAAAAGAAAATACATGTTATATTATATTTATCTCTCGACTCTCTTTTTCTTTCGTTACTCTCTTCTTATACATTTGATAAAATATAAAACCCTGATCGAATTGCGAGCCGAATTAAGGATCGATTTTATTACTCTGTGAGTGCTTGTCTCCGATTTCCAATCGGTTGTCCAACTTTCGCTATATCGAAGATATAAGTTCTCGTGATATCCAATAAGCCATTATTTGA